AAGGGAAGGGAAGGGAAGGGAAGGGAAGGGAAGGGAAGGGAAGGGAAGGGAAGGGAAGGGAAGGGAAGGGAGAAAGAGGTCTGATGCTCCCCTGCTTCAGACATATGCTTCTGTAATATATTTTTATATGTATATTTGTACAAAAGCAACAGTTTTATATTTTTGTGTTACCAATTCAAAACCTTAAAGTGGTTTAAATAAATAACAATTAAAACTACGAAAAAAATAATAATAATAAATACTGAGGTAAAATGAGAAAGCAAATAACACAGCTGAGGAAAACTACTGCAATTAAGTGCAAAATAGCCTAAGCTTCCTAGCCACTACAGCCTATGTAGAAACAACCTGTGCTGCACAGCTTTCTTTGTCTAATAAAAAGGGAGAGGAATGGAGGAGTAACAATCCCTGATGTATGTCAAGCAGTGTTCTGCACCTATAAAAATCATTTAATCATCACATAGATGATACTCCCTTTTATCAGATGTGGAAACTGAGGCTTTGGGAGATTAAGAAATAACTTATGCATAATTAAAAATCTAATGAGATCTTACCCAAGATTTATATTAGAATTGAGATTTTTGTCTTCAAAGCCTACATTCTTTCCACATTAACGTATTATACCTAAAAAAGAAACATTTACCAGAGACTATTTTTCTGAGTCCAGAGAGAAATTTGGCTAGTGGGCCAATTTACAGGAGATAATAAAATATATATAATAGACAGTGATTTCAATAGTATTAAAAAAGATAGAAAAATGATCATGTAGATTTAGCCTTTCCAGATCATCAATGAAACACATCTTCTATCAACTAAACATTAAGGGGAAATGTTAAGTGGTAGTTCTATGAAGACAATGCTACATCAAACTTTACCTACTAGAGCGTCAGCTGTCACAATGACTGACCTCCATCAAAACCAGTTGGAAAAATATTCGTATCCTGTGTACATTTACTGTCTGAATGAGAATAACATGTTATCCAAATAAGCCCATCAAATTTCTATTTCTAAAGCTAATTGCTTAACAAAGTTTCTTGTAAAAAAGAAAATTTTAAAAGTTACTTAAAAATTGAAAAAAAGAAGATGGTGGCATAGGTAAACATGGTACTCGCCACCTCCCACAACCACATCAAAATTACAACTAAAATACAGAGCAACCATCACTCTGAACCACCCGAAATCTAGCTGAACATAAGTCCTACAACTAGGGAATTAAAGAAGCAGCACATTGAGACTGGCAGAAGGGGAAGAATCATGGAACTGGCTGGTCCCACAATCACATGTGGCAATTTAAAATTGGGAAGGTTATCTTGGATACTGAGATTTCTCCCACACCAGGCCCCCCAGCCTGGTAGATTCCATGCCAGGAAAAACCAGAGGGGATTGTGGCTGAGTGACATGAGGCTGTTAGAGTCAAAGGCAGTTCCTCTAAAAGAGCCCACACACGGACTTACTCAGACTCACTCCCTCCAAGCTCCAGCACTAAGGTAGCAGCTTGAAAGGATCTAGGGACATATGAGGAGGACCTAACTTCTCTAGAATCAGAGCAAGAGCTGGAGGGGCAGTTTTCCCCCAAACAGAAGTACTGGCAGAGGCCACTGTTCCTTTGCAGAGCCCTCCCTGCCACAGAGACCACAGGCAGGCACCATATCTGAATCTCCATCAACATGGCTCAAATTTTTCACACTGCCTTGGTGGTTCTGAGACCCTACCCTTCCCTACTTGCAGGCTCACCCAAGCCATTTCCAGTAGCTTTTCCATACAACAGGCCTCTCCTGCCTCATGCTTAGAACTTTCCTAAAATCTTGTTTTCTCTCAAACAAGCAGAAGCAGGCCTCAGTGTGCCCTGTACCTCTCAATCAGTGGTCCCAGGCCTGGCACTAGCAGTAGCCCACTTTCATTCACAGTTTGGCTTCTCCTGGGAACCTCCAAGCCCAACACAAGTAGCAGCCATCTGCAGATTGCTCTGTAACTCATGCTGGGTGGCCCCAGGCAGGGCATAGGCAGTGGCTGACTCTTCACTTCCTGGGAGGCTCCAGAGCCATTGCACCTGATGGTCAGCTTCAACCATGGCAGATTAAAACCCTACCACCTCCATGAGTAACACACTCAAGGGGTGGACTTGGTGAGCACCAAAGCCCCAGTGAAGCAAGTCCTGCTCCATGGGACAGGTTCCTGCACAGTAGCTCTTTCACTGTAGTCACAGCCAATCCTTGTAACTGATTGGCCTGGGGGGTCAATCCCTCCCCGTGACACCATTAAACAAGGCTCAACTACAATAGGACAGTGCACACAGCTCACACAAGGGTGCCCAACTCAGGTGACTGGGGAGGCTGAGCCACTGGGCCCTACAGGACATCTACTACAAAAAGCCACTTTACCAAGTCTGGGAGACATATAAGATCTATATAATACATAGAACACACACCAGGAAGCAGCCAAAATGCAGACAAAGGAACATGTCACAAATGAAAGAATAGGAGAAATCTCCAGAATAAGAACTAAATGAAATGGAAGCAAGAAAACTACCAGATACAAAGTACAAAACAATGGTTATAAGGATGCTTGAGGAACTTACTGAGAACTTCAAGAATCTTAATGAGAACTTCAAAGACCTTAGTGAGAACATAAACAACATAAAAAGAACCAGTCAGGAATGAAGGATGTACTAATTGAAATAGAGAATAATTTACAGTGAATCAACAGTAGAGTAGAGGATGTCAAGAATCAAATCAAGAATTTGGAATATAAGGAAACAAAAAACACCAAATCAGAACAGCAAAAAGAAAAAAGAATCCAAAAATATAAAGATAGTGTAAGGAGCCTCTGGGACAACTTCAAGGGTACCAATATTTGCATCATGGGTATACCAGAAGGAGAAGAGAATGAAGAAGAAATTGAAAACCTACTTGAAAAAATAATGACAGAAAACTTCCCTTACCTGCTGAAAGAAAGAGACTTACAAGTCCAGGAAGCAGGGAGGGTCCCAAACAAGATGAATCCAAAGAGGCCCATACCAAGACACATCATAATTAAAATAGCAAAGGTTAAAAACAAAAATTGATTCTTAAAAGCGGCAAGAGAAAAGCAATTAGTTACCTACAAGGGAGCGCCCATACAACTGTCAGCTGATTTCTCAACAGAAACTTTGCAGGCCAGAAGGAAGTGTCAAGAAATAGTCAAAGTGATGAAAAGCAAGGACCTACAACCAAGATTACTCTACTCAGCAAAGCTATCATTTAGAATTGAAGGTCAGATAAAGAGTTTCCCAAACAAGAAAAAGCTAAAGGAGTTCACCACCACCAAACCAGTATTATACAAAATGTTAAAGGGTCTTCTTTAAGAAGGAAAAAAAAGATCAAAATGTGAACAACAAAATGGCAATAAATACATATCTATCAATTGAATCTAAAAATCAAAATAAACCAACAAGCAGAACAGAAACAGATTCATAGATACAGAGAACATTTTGACGGTTGCCAGATGGGAGGGGATGTTGGTGAAAAAGGTGAAGGGATTTAGAAGTATGAATTAGTCATAGTCCATGGACACAGACAATGGACAGGTGAAGACCTGGGATGGAGTGGAAGATGGGTGGGGGGGAACAAAGGGGGACATCTGTAATACTCTCAACAATAACATAGTATTTTTTGAAATGGAAAATAAAAACTCTCTGCCAGCTCCTAGGAATCTGTTATCATATTTTCTGCTACGCTATTTTCATTTGATACAGTCACACAAATGTCCACTTGGCACAACATATCCATAGCCCTTGGGATACTAGAATGTCACAAATTTTCACTTGCCAAAAGCATACCAGGCCAAAACACTTTGATAGGCTTACTAAAATAATGAACATAACCTTACTTAAATAGTTTTGAGAAAATATGAATAGAAGCACAGTATTCTAATATTGCCTCCTGTAGACATTAATTGTAATACCATTTATGTTACAAGCTCCAATACAATGCTTATTTTTCAGTTTTAATTTTATGTTCCTTTCCTGACATTAGAATAGTTGCATTCCATATCCATGCACTCAAAAATTTTTTATTGAATCCACGTTTTAGGTACTGGAGACAGAAGGAGAATAAGAAATTGTCACTGTTCTCAAGGAGCTCACAAATCAGTAGGAAAGAGAGACAATCAAATCAACAGTAAATTACAAAAGACATTACAATACATGAATCCATATTATACTCATCTTCATTCACACATTGATTCAGTCAACAATTATTAGTATACCTATTTGTAAACCACTCCAAAAAGAATTTATATAATTAACTCCTGAATACACCAGAGAAAACTGTTCATAGTTAAAAGAGAGACAATGATTGTTAAAAAAATTTATTAAAAATCTAAAAATACTTACATTTTTAAAAGCAATCATTTTTTAATTCTACAGCAAACAATAAACAACACACTGTCACCGCCAAAGAAGGAATACTCTCTTAACCTCAATATCAAGTTTAATGTTCCTAAGCTCTTGTTTTATGTTTATTTTACTCTTGGACAATAGCTTAGAACCTTATATGTTGTATCAATTTTGAATCATGTTTTTTATTATTTTGTTTTAAGTTTGATTTGGTTTTATCTATAATTTTCTGCCTATTTAATCTCCAAATTAATGAAGAGGTGATTATATAAGGAAAAACTTACCTTTCAGCTTGAAGCTTAGTGGTTTTAACTATTAAATCTTGAGTCTGTTCCTTTGCTGCCTAAAATTATAAACATATCTAGTATCAGTACATTTCAATTTTATTATACTTCAGAAAACTATTACTACCACTTACTGAGTTCAGACTTATAGCAAACGAGATCACACTCCACAACTCAAAAGTTTATAAAATGCCTGAGTCGTAACTGAAACAGAAGTTTTATGGTTCATACACTACTTTACCAAGAGGAACTCACTCAATGTTCTCAAAACACACATAATACTAAGGCTTACAGGAAAGAAAAGGATATCAAGATGCTGACTAAGGAATTTAACAGTTCATGATGCTTTTTGTGAAACAGAAGCATTGGAAGAGCAAGTTAAGAATGATGAATATGACTTCAGTTATGCACATGTTGAGATTCCATGAGACCTGTAAGTGGAGTTGTAAGTTAAGTCACTAAAATACTATAGAACGTGTCAGAAATGCCCAAGATGGAGATAAAAATTTGGAAGCTGAGATATACAAACTACCCTTCATATAGGATTTTAGTTAAGATTAGAGGCAGCCCCACCTAAAGGACACAGGGCTGTGTCTGACCAAGTTTCATACCAAGCATTCCTTCCTCCCACAATTCAGAACTGAAAGGATCGGGAGTGAAAACTTGAAAAATAAGGTGTTCTAACCAAAAATAGGCAAATATTTATAAAGTAGATTGAAACAGAAGACAAATGTAGTCAATCAGATTCTCTCAAAGACCTCAACAAAGGCATTTAACAATGAAGAAACAAGTGGTTGTAAGGCAAAAAGAGACAGAGGGTCCATGCCTTAAAGGGATATTAAGTGAGCCAGAATTATATATATATACATAAAGCCACTAGTAAACAGAAATTATAAAGTAGACAAAAACACAAGAGTGGAGGGCAGTCTGTTAAAGAAGGGATACCAGAAAAAACACATGAAGATGCTGGGTCATTTTCATGCTAGGTCAGTACAAAAAAGAGGCAATGTTCCTAGAGCTAATGTTCCTAGAGCTGCATTAGTTAGATCTAAAAACACCCCCAACCACCACCAAGTTTTGGGTTCTTAAAGGCCTAATCCAGATTGTCACTGCAATTTTCCGTTTTACTGATTTATACACCTCGTGTCAGTCAGTAACAGAGCCCCACCACCATTTCTAGGGAAGCTATTTAGAGTCTGTGTTCCTTGCAACCAAATAAAGTGCCCAACAAATAGTAGATATTTTTAAGAAAATAGATTTAAACCTAAATAATTCAGCAGATCACAAACTTTTAATGAATGGAACTGAACATGATAGCTCCCATGGTAGTCTTCTAAAATTATCATTCTTCAAATCCAGTAACTTCTTCAAATGCTTATCTTTCCTAATGTCATTTTGCTTTAAAGATCCACTTCCACCCTTTATCTTGCCTTGTACAATTTTTTAAAATATACTATTTCAATTATAAAACTTACTTACATTTTAATATTTGTGAAAAAAAGAGTTCTTCACAAAATCACTATCATAAAATGCTTACTAGCTTCTTTTTAGTCTCAGTCATTACTGAGGGTATGTCTTATAAACAGCACTGTCAATTAAACACTGAAATATTATATTTGAGTACAATGTTATGCAATAAGAATTTTTGAGTATTTCCTGACTCTTCACTTACAAATTGTAGTGAGGATTCCAAAATAATGTTTAATAATACTAGTAAAGATCATTATCCTAAAACAATTTTCAGACAATTTATCTTAAATATTAAAGATTACTATTTTTCATTAAATAAGAAACATATCACTCCAAATATAACTTATTAAAGTAAAACCACAGCCAAAGGGATAAACCATAGCATGCAAAAAATTACTAATTAAATTTCTAAATGTATCTCATAATATCAATTTCTAAAATGTCCCAAATCCAAAGCATTTTAGAAAAAAATAATTAACCAATTAAATTATAACACCCTACAAGTAAAGCCCTTATAACACCTTATAATGTAAAAGAGAGGGGAGTTACCAAGAAATACTTCTCTTTATAAATAAATGAATTGAAAACACTATTCTAGAGTTGATAGTATAAATGGGTACTATTAAAATTACAACAAAACTATATCCAAATAAATTACTGCCAGTAAATGAACAAAACTTTCAAAATCATGGATCTAATACCTACTTATCTAAGAATCAAAAATGAATGTATTATTCTGGCCAGTTTTGCTCAGTGGTTAGATCGTCAACTACAGACCACTGGGTTGTGCGTTCAATTCCAGTTCAAGGGCACGTACCTCAGTTGCAGGCTCAATCCCTGCCCTGGTCAGGGTGCATTCAGGAGGCAACCAATCAATGTGTCTCTCTCATGTCAATGTTTCTCTCTCTCTCTCCCCCCCTCCTCTCTAAAAATCAATAGAAAAAAATATCCTTGGGTGAAGATTAACAAACAAACAAGCAAAAGAATGTATCACACGTAAGTGAAATAACATGATTCTTGTCCTTTTCCACCTAACTTATTTCACTTAGGATGGTGAGTACTCACTGCAATGCAGATCATGTATATAGAATTGTACACCTGAAACCTATAAAATGTTATTAACCAATAATACCCCCAATAAATTTAATTAAATTAAAAAAATGAATGTAAACAGTAAGTAGTATAAAATATTTTTAAATATTCAGTATAAAAACTATGAGGATATTTTGCAAGTGCTGATAATGTTCTACATCTTGATTACTAATGGTTGATTCACAGGTGTATAAAACTATGAAAATACATGGATTTGTACACTTCAAATAGATGTAGTTTATTATTGTATATAAATTACTTCTCAGTAAAGTTGAGATAAAAAAAAGAAAGAAAAAAGTTTTATGCCATTATAGGGAAGAAAGAAGACTGACGATCCAAAGAAAATACAAAGGACAAAATAGATGACACTTTGGGATTTAAAATACATATAAACTGTTTTGAAAGTAGCATAGAGTAATACTTTGATCTTTTACACTTCAAAATAGGTATGATAAAAAGAATAAAAATATAATTAAAGACAAGAATTAGAAAATAAGAGGCAATACATTAAGAAGAGGAAACTAACGTAACACAAAATATATGATTAACATTACAAAATAAATACAAGAGTATAATACAGAAAACCTTATAAAGTATAGTATGAAAAAAGGCATTAAATCATAGAAGCTACAAGATGAGAAAAGGAAATTTTTAAAAAGTTAAAAACAAAAGTCAAATAAAGTCAATTAAGCAAAAGAAGTAACATGCAAAAAAAAGTGAAATGGCAACAATTAGCAATTTATATGGTTATTTAAGTAGAGTATTAACAAAGATCTGAAGATTAGAAAGTAAATATGCCAATAATATCTGATATATTATTTAAGAATAAAAAAGTTTAGATAAGACTACGAAAGCTAAAATTTTAGAAACAGGGAATCAGCTAGTTCTACAGACAGATCACACAAGTCACTACAATTATTTTGTGGAATGTGCATAGATTCATGATTCTTCCTACAATAATTACAGCTGTCAATAAGTCTAAGAGAGTCTTACGAGTAAAACTTTGGAATAAAAATGTGAAGATAGTAGCCATAATCATGAAAGACACTTAACTTAGGAAGAACCTATTCTATTCACTACTCCAGAATTAGATGACTGAGGGTAATTAGATCAAATGCTAACTCTACAGCCAAACTAGATGTTCAGAACAGCTTTAATAAACAGACTATGAGTGAAAGTATACATATTTTCCTGAGATTTTTTTTGTTTTAGTCTGAGCATGAATCATAATTAAGCTGGTCTTTATCAGGCATAGCATTAGTTTGAACTTACTCCTAAGGCTTTCTATTATGGAATTAATTTCTACTGGGCTTACGGGATATTTATGGGATTAAAAGGTTTATCAAAATTCTACACAATTAACTCTGGAGCAGCATTTCAAAATATGAAGACTTCTGGAATTAACTGAACAATACTACAAACTTCCTACAGGGCATGATGTAGTAAATAACCATACATTTTGTAGACCTATCCAAGAGTTACTTTGTACCAGGAACTATGCTAAAATCAAGCCATTATACAGTACCTGCAGGCGACTTGTCATATCTTGACAACAGCTACTCATTGCTTGAACATCTTCATTTATGCTTTCAAGTTCCTAAAAAAGGGGAAAAGGAACATCATTAAATATACTGTTAAAAAAAATTTCTCTTCTTAGCCAAATCCTGATTTTCAACCCAGGAATTTTTTTGGCCAAGACATGACAAAATATCCCATATCTAAGACTGGAAATTATTAAAAGGAGTAACATCTAGTGTTAGAAAAGATGTTACAAAAAAACTAGTGAAATAATAAAAAACAGCAAATGCTTTAAAAATATTAATACCTCTGTATTCAGAAATTCTAATACTAAGAGTTTCTCCTAAGGAATTAATCAGATAAGTGTATGACAATATACTTGAGGATGATCAACACAGTTGCCTAAAACAAACGGAAAATGTGAAACACTTCCAACCACACAATGGAAATCTGAGCATACATTATCAGAGTATGTGTGTGTACACACACGCGTACACACACTTACTGACTATATAAGGTTAAAAAAGTATTATGAAACAATACATAATGTCTCCCCATTTTTTAGAAAAATATATATATATATGTGCAAAAGAACACAGAAAAGGCCATAGAATAAAATACTACCAATAGTTATTTCTGGATAACGGGCTCATAAATAAATTGTTCTTTCTACTTCTGACTTTATTATCTAACTTTTCTATGATGAATTATTTGTAACTTTTAATTAATAAAACAAACAAATTTGAAAACCCCACAAATAGTGCCTATTTTTCTAAAGTCGTCACATATTAAATCATGCCACAGATCTGATAATTTTCACAGTAACATTCTCTCCATATGTATTTCCAACCCCAGCCCCCCCAAATACATATGAATTTAATTGGTTACTAAGTCTTACCATTTACACCCCTAAATGTGTATGTCTTATCCATTTCCTTTCTACTATCCAAACAACTACTAATTTAGTTTGGGTCAACTGTTATCTCTTCCATGGAATGATTTTTTTTTTTAAGTCTTCTAATAGGTCTTCAGACTCTACACTCTTTGTTGAACCATCCTCTAGATTTGACTGAACCAATATCTTACTATGAAAATATATTGTCACAAAATCACACTTAGCTTCATACTTTGCTGTTATCTTCTTTTTCCCAATTCAATTCGGTGTCACATAAAAGAAAGATATGCAAGGAAAGTGAGTTTCAGTGGTAAACAGGGTCTTACTGTTATCACTTTCAACACAATGCTCATACCTTCCAATAGAAACTGGACAGTTTTATGAAGGGACTGAACAATCAGGGGCAAAAGATAAGAAAGCAGCTAAGCACTGGCCAAGTAGCTCAGTTGCTTAGAGCGTTGTCTCAAAATGCCAAGGTTGCACGTTCAGAACATCCTGGTCAGGGCACATACAAGAATCAACCAATGAATGCATAAATAAGTGGAACAACAAAAATTGATGTTTTTCTCTCTCTCTTTCCCTTTTTGTCTCTAAAATCAATAAATAAAAATTTAGTAAAAAACAAAAAAGAAGAAGAAAGAAAGAAGCCAAGAAGGGCTATAAGTAAAACATAAGGAAAAAACCAGAGTTAGGAAATCACTTATAAGAATATGAGCATAAATCTTAGTTCTAGAATTAAGAATTTTTCCCCTTCTCTCTATTAAGTACTTTAAATTATAAAAAGTATAGCACCAGATATTTTCAAATGTTACTCTTTATATTTTACTATAATCAGTATGTAATTCAAGTTACTAAACTAAGTCCTAAACTGTTTTGACATAATAAAAGTATGATATCAGTTAATGTCAGCAATAGCAGATACACAAACCCATCTCCCCATTCCCTCAAATCTTACCATATAATCTAATAAGACTAGTACTATGACATTATCAGTCAGCTAGGTCAAGAATAACTACTCCTAATATTATTTTACTTTAGCTACCATAATACACTAAGTTGGTTTGCTTTGTAAATTAATAGAAATTATATATCTTAATATATTACTTAAATGCAGAGATTTGCTAAATTGTAATTCAAGGGCCTTTTACATTGTTTGTAAAGTCTTGGAACTTAAAGTGTCTTCTTTTTTCCCCAACTAAATAAAATTATAGGTTGTGAAATACAACTAGAGTATCATCAATTCTTTAAAATCTTTTTTATTATCTGGAATTTTCAAAAATATCCAAAAGTTGAGATAATATGAATGCCCATGTACATATCATCTGGTTCAACAATTACAAACTTGTGCGTGACCACCTTCGTTTCATCTCTCTACACACTTTCTTCCTCTCTCCCCATCCACTTGCTCCTTCCCCCACAAACTGAATCATTTTGAATTCCAAATATAATTTCATCAATAAATGTATCCATATATACTTCTAAGAGGACTCTTAAAAAAAATCACAATGCTATTTACACATCTAAACATTTAACAATAACCTCCTAATATAAAATATCTAGTAAGTGATCAAATTTCCCCAATTGTCTCAATTTCTTTCAATTTGTTCAAATAAGGAACCAAAGAATATTCACAAATAGTAACTGAATATTTCTCTATTTCTTTTATTATTATTATTGCTTTGAGAGCAAGAGAGAGAGAGGAAGATCAATTTGCTGTTCCACTTATTTATACATTCAGATCGAACCCACAACCTTGGCATATCAGGACAACACTCTAACCAACTAGCAACCCAGGGAACTCTTTTTTTTTTTTTTTACAATTTATTTGTTGAAGAAACCAGTTCATTTGCCCATACAGTTTCTGACATTCCAGATTTTCCTGAGTCTTCATAGTGTTAATATACTCCTCTGTCACCTGTTATTTCCTATAAACTGCAGCAGTTAGATCTAGAAGCTTGATTATATCTGGTTCAATTTTCTGGCAAGAATTCTGGTGTTGTATACCTTTATTGATAGTCATATATAATGTTTGTTCCTCTTTTTATGAGGTTAGCAGCTAGTGATGACCAAAGGCTAGATCAGCGGTTCTCAACTGGGGCAATTTTGCCCTCCAAGGGGGCATTTGGCATTGTCTGGAGACATTTTTGATTGCAATAACTGGGGAGAAAGTGGTGCTACTGGCATCTAGTGTGCAGAGGCTAGGGATGCTACTAAACATTCTATATTGCAGAAGATAGTCCTCAATAATTACCTGGCCCAAAATGTCAATCATGCCAAGGTTGAAAAACCCTAAGCTAGACCCACACGTTCAAGAGTGGTTGCAACTTCTAATCTAGTTCTATCATTTCTTCTTCATTTATTAGATGGAATATTTCTATAAAGAAAAGCTTTGCCCAGCTGGCATTGCTCAGTGGTTGAGCATCAACCTATGAACCAGGAGATCATGGTTCGATTTCCAGTCAGGACACATGCCAGGTTGTGGCGTTGATCCCTAGTAGGGGGTGTGCAGGAGGCAGCCAATCAATGACTCTCTCTCATGATTGATGTTTCTATCTTTCTCTCCCTTTTCCTTCCTCTTTCTGAAATTTAAAAAACAAAAAAGAAAAGAAAAAGAAAAGCTGGCCCTCAACAACCACAGGTAGTTGGTACAAAAGACAGGATAAATGTTTGATGCTTTCCTTTTATTTAGGAGTTTTCAAAATAATAAGTTGGTTACCTTATATCCATGAAAGATAACTAATAAGGGTTCTGTTTGGTTTTCAATATGATTATGAATTCATGGACTACACATGAATTCATTGTTTCAACCCACCAAGTTATTCTTATTGATGCTCAAATGGTCCTATGTTTGGCCAGTAGAAGCCTCTTCAAGTAGCTCCAGTCTTTCTGATAATTTCCCAATAGTCATAGCTTCCTTGCTTTATGGTACTGTTAAGATTGTTTCTTTCAGTGGAAAGGGGTGTTTAGAGACTCCAGTCTGGATGTGCTCATCACTACTACTTCCTTATTTTGGTAAACACCACTTAACTTTCCTTTTAAACTTCCAGATTATTATCCTTTAATCAGTAAAATCCTCCTGTTTAAAATGTTTTTATTAAGTACTCACTGAAACCATGTATAACTCTCCCATACAATTCACACAGAAATATTAACTATGCAATATTATGTTATATTAACATAATTAATATATTACATGATAAATAAAATAGAACATAAAAAATATAACTCATTTTTACCCCATGATGAGTAGACTGTTCATTCAAATATGAGGAATCATTATTTACATACTTAAGTATCTCCATTGGAGATAATTAAGATTAGCCCCTCCAAGGAAGGTTTATTCAATGAGGGACTATCTCTACTGGAAAACCAATCAGAGAAAAATTTTTTTATTGTTTAAAAAGCTAAAATTCCTAACAGAATATCCTAGAACATAACTTTCTAATTACCAGCATTAGTGGAAGTCACAGATTCAGAAATCACGCTAATCCAAAGATCTAGATGCTTCAGAAGTAAGTTTTCTATTTGAACATGAAACATGAATAGCAAATATTTCAACCTAATTCATAAAAAGACTTAGTACAGAGCCAGGTATACAGTAAATTTTCAATAAATGCTTAATGAAAAGAGTTTACATACTTCCTTCACTTCCTTGAAAATGCTTACAAATTCTTCATTGATGGCTAAACTTCTGCGTTCAATATCTCCGCGTAAATTTCTTCGAGTCCGCAAACTATTTTCAACAAAAAAGGTTGAAAGTGCCTTAAGAGCTTCCAACATCTCCTAAACAATTGATAGAAAAAAAATTATTAGGATCAATTTTCAAATGTTTTCTTAATCTCAAGCCAAAAATTAATGAAATCCTTTTCAAATAATTTTTTTCCATTAAAAAACCCAATTTAGATGTGGACAGCTATTTTGCAAAGAAATACAGCTTGAGCCCACAAATCATAGACAGTAAGTACTTAGATAACAACAACAAAAACTAGTAAATACTATTTCACTTTAGCCATGAGCAGGTTCTTTCGCGTTACATTACATAAAATATAATGTAAATAAGAAATAAAATGAAGTATTACATAAAATAATTTCATATTTTAATTGTTTTCACTTGTCAGTGGAAATGCTCAATTATACCTAGCCCCGTTCTCCCGATCCTCCTGGCCCCCGATTCGCGTTGGCTTAACTTGTAATTTGCTCTTCGGCGTCAGTTTCTCACCCAGCCCCCAACGCTCCCGGCTCAGAACCGCCTCCGAGTTGGAGAAAGGGACTCCACGGTTTGCCTCCGCGATCCAAAGTTTTCAATAGGAGCAGTACCCAGGAAACCCCTTCGCTTTTGCAGGGGCCCCTCGCCTCGCCGTCTCACCCTCTCCGCGCAGGTCTGGGGTGCCTCCGCGGTGCGCAGGAGGGGCGCGGGAGTGGGTGCCGGCCAGACGCCGCCCCTGGCCCGGCTCAGCCCCGCGGGCGACGCGGGTACCCGGCCCTGCCAGCGCCGGTTACCTTGTCATTGTCCAGCCGAGTCTCCAGAATCTTATGCAGCTTCCGCGACAGCGGGTTGTTGGGCTGCGCCGAGGTCCCGCCGGCCCCATTGCTGAGGCCGTTGGCAGCCCCGGACGCAGGGACTGCGACTACCTCCCCGCTACCCTCGGCCATAGCGCCCCGGGTGCAGCCCCAAGCTCGGCCGCGGCCACCTCAGCCCGGCCGCGCGAGTACTGCGCGTGCGCAGAGTACCGCGCATGCGCCCCTGGGAAGGCTCTGCGGAGACTCCGCCGCTCAGCCAGGCCGGTGGGAGCGAGGAAGGGGAGGGGAGTTAGAGGAAGGCGGCGCAAAAACCTCAGCGTGGGGAGGGGTGACCGACGGGGTCGGCAATGGCGGTCGTACATAGAGCTCGCAATTCATATTTATAGGATTAAAAGGATTTCGGAATCCTGAATCTAAGAAAGTACAAACTAAGTATTAGGAAAATGCAACCAGACCTATGCCTTGACATATAAGTTCACTAAAAGTTAATTGAAATTAAAGTCACCTCACCCGAATGCTCTTCTTTTTTAATTTTATTTTATACTTTATTTTTTCCATCACCATTTATCCCCTCTATGCCCTCTTCCACCTCCAGCCACTCCTCTCCCCCACCCCTCCCCTTTTTGTAAAAAAGCATTTATTGAAGGTGTTTTATGAGCCAGGTACTCCGTTAGGCATTGGAGGTTCTACATTTTGTGTCTGAGACAAAAGACTTAATAAATGTTATTAGATTAGGATTAGTGAAGAAAAAAACGAAGTACTGTGCAATTAAATAGTAATGGAAAGGCCTGCTTCACCCAGGAAGGTCTGGAAAGTAATTGCCCATTAAACAGATTTGAAGAAGAATATAAAATACAGAGTAAAATCATTCCCAGGCAGGAGAAAGTGTAAATGCAAAGGCCCCAAGCCAAGAAAGAATTTGTTCCACAAACTCCCAAAGCTGGTGTGGCTGTAAATAACAAGGAAATAAGTAACAAGATGAGAAATATATTCCTAGGAAGGTCTAGAGAACAAATATATATATTTTTTTCTTTTCTCACCTTTTAAATTTTGGGTCAGAATAAAATCCCTGAACCTCTTGTGGTTCATCTGTCTGTTTGTAAGCCAGTACCATGATGTTTTAATTAATATAGCCTTGTAGTATAGTTTGATACCAGGTTCTTCTTTCTCAATATTGCTTTGTCTAGTCACGGTCTTTTGTAATTCCATATAAATTTTAGAATTATTTGTTCTATTTCTATGAAAAATGCCTTTGGTATTTTAATAGAGGTGCATTGAATCTATAGATTGCTTTGGGTAGTATGGACATTTTAACTCTATTGTTCTTCCTATCCATGAGCGCAGTATATACTTCCATTTATTTGTATCTTTTTCACTTTCTTAAATGTCTTATAATTTTCTGACTACAGGCCTTTTATCTCCTTGGTTAAATTTATTACTAGGTATTTTATTTTCTGATGCAGTTGTAAATGGGATTGTTTTATTAATTTCTCTTCTGAAAGTTCATTATGGGTGCATAAAAGTGCAACAGATTTCTGAACATTGATTTCGTATCCTGTTATTTTACTCAATTCATTTATCAATTCTAGTAGGTTTTTTGGTGAATCTTTAGGGTTCTCTCTATATAATATAATGTCATCTGCAAATAATGACAGTTTTCCTTCTTCCTTTCCAATTTGGATGCCTTTATTTCTTCTTGTCTAATTGCTCTGGCTAGAACTTCCAACACTATGTTGAATAAGAGTAGTGAAAGTAAACATCCTTGTCTTATTCCTGATCTTAAGAGAAATAATGCTTTTATTTCTCATTGAATAAGATGTTAGCTGTGAGTTTGTCATATATGGCTGTTATTATGTTGAGGTATGTTCCCTCTGTTCTTACTTTGCTGAGAGTTTTTATCATAAATGGGTGATGAATTTTATCAAATACTTTTTCTGCATCTATTAATATGATCATGTGACTTTTATCCTTCATTTTGTTTATGTGGTTATCACATTTGTTGATTTGTGGACATGGTACCAAAATTGCATCCCTGTAATAAATCCCACTTAATCATGGTGTGTGATCATTTTGCTGTATTTCTAAATATGGTTTGCTAATATTTTTTTAAGAATTTTTGCATCTATGATCATCAGGGATATAGGCTTATAATTTTCTTTTTCTGTAGTGTTTGTGTGTGGATTTGGAATCAGGATAATGCTGGCCTCTTAAAATGAGCTTGGAAATCTTCCCCTCTTGAATTTTTTGGAATAGTTTGAGAAGCATAGGTGTTATTTCTTCTGTAAAGCCATCTTGTCCTGGGCTTTTGTTTGTTGGGAGGTTTTTTTATTACTGCTTCAGTTTTGTTCATTGTAATTGGCCTGTTCAGATTTTCTGTTTTTCTTGATTCAGTCTTGGGAGGTTGTACGTTTCTAGAAATTTAACCATTTCTTCCACAATGTCCAATTTGCAGGCATATTAATTGTTGGTAGCATTTCTATATGCTCTGTATTTTTCTGGTGTCATTTGTTACTTCTCTTTCATTTCTTATTTTATTTATTTGGGTCTTTTTTTCTTTGTTTTCCTTTTTTGGTAAGTCTCTTTAAAGCTTTCTCAATCTTGCTTATCTTTTCAAAGAACCAGCTTTTGGTTTCATTGATCTTTTATATTGTTTTTTCAGACTCTATTTTGTTTATTTTTGCTCTAATCTTTATTATTTCCTCCCTTCTACTTTAGACTTTGTTCGTTATTGTTTTTCTAGTTCCTTTAGGTGTAAGGTTATATTGTTTATTTGAGATTTTTTTTCTTATTTCTTGAGGTAGGCTGTATTGCTATGAATTTTTCTCTTAGAACTGTTTTCACTGTGTCCCATAGATTTTCAGGTTATTGTGTTTACATAGCACAAAGTATCTTTTGATATCTTCCTTGATCTCATTGTTAACCCATTCATTGTTTAGTAACATGTTATTTAGCCTCCACATGTTTGTGTGTTTTTTAGTTTTTTTCTTGTAATTGATTTCTAACTTCATACCATTATGGTCAGAGAAGATACTTGTTATGATTTGTCTTCTTAAATTTATTGAGACTTCTTTTGTGGCCTAACGTGGTCTATTTTGGAAAATGTGCAGTTGAAAAGAATGTATATCCTGCTGCTTTGGGGTGAAATACTCTGCAAATATCAATTAAAACTATCTAGCCTAATGTGTCATTTAAGGCCACTGTTCCTTTGTTGACGTTTTGGCTAGAAGATCTATCCATTGATGCTGATAGGGTGTTAAAGTCCCGTATTACAATTGTATTTTTGTCTATCTCAACCTTTATGTCTGTCAAGATTTGCTTTATATATTTAGATGTTTTTATGTTAGGTACATAAATGTTCACACTGGTTATATCCTCTTGTTGAATTGATTCCTTGATCATTATGTAGTGTCCTTCTTTGTCTCCTATTATACCCTTTGTTTTAAAGCCTATTTTGTCTAAGTATTGCTACCCCAGCTTTTTCATGTTTCAATTTGCATAAAATATCTTTTTCTATCTCTTTACTTTCTGTGTATGTCTTTCCATCTGAGGTGGGTCTTTTGTAGACAACACATATATAGGTTTCGTTTTGTTATCCATTCATCTACCCTATCTGTTTTAATTAATCCATTTACATTGGAAATGATTATGATAGGTATTTAATCATTGTCATTTTATTATTCAACTTTATGATTCCTCCCTTTTTTATGCAATTTCATTGACATTTCTTATAATACTAGTTTGTTGGTGATGAACTAGATTAGCTTTTTTTTTTTTGTCTGAAGCTTTTTTTTTTGTTTGTTTGTTTTGTTTGGGAAGCTCTTTATCTATCCTTCAATTCTAAATGATAGCCTTGCAGGGTAGAGTAGTCTTGGTTGTAGGTCCTTATTTTTTATCACTTTGAATATTTTGAGCCAATCCTTTCTGGCCTGCAAAGTTTCTGTTAAGAAATCAGCTGACAGTCTTATAGGAGCTCTCTTGTGGGTAACTAACTGTATTTCTCTTGCTGCTTTTTAATTTTTCTCTTTGTCTTTAACATTTTCCATTTTAATTATGATGTGTCTTGATGTGGGCTCTTTAGGTTCATCTTGTTTGGGATTCACTGTACTTCCTGGACTTGTATGTCTTTTGTTTTTACCAGATTAGGGAAGTTTTCGGTTATTATTTCTTCAAATAGGTTCTGGATTTCTTGCTCTCTCTCTTCTCCCGCTGGTACCACAATGATGAGACTGTTGTCCCAGAGGTCTTTTAAACTATCCTTATTTCTTAAAATTCTTTTTTATGTTTGGTGTTGTGATTGGTGTTTTCTGCTACCTTGTCTTCCAAATTGCTGATTTGATCCTCTGCTTTAATCTGCTGTTGATTCCTCTTAGTGTATTCCTTATTTCAGTTATTGTATTCTTTCTGACTAGTTCTTTTTTATGATTTCTTTGTCTTTTTTTTATGCTTACTATCTCTTTGTTGACATTCTTACCAAGTCCTTTGAACATCCTTATAACCATTGTTTTGAACTCTATCTGGTAGTTTGCTTGCCTCCATTTCATTTCGGTATTTTTCTAGAGATTTCTCCTATTCTTTAATATGGGACATGTTTCTTTGTCTCTTCATTTTGGCTGCTTCTCTGTGTTTGTTTTTACATATTAGGCAGGTTCCTATATCTCCCAGTCTTAGTAGGGTATACTTATATAGTAGGTGTTTTGTGGGGCCCAGTGGTCTCCCTGATCACCTGAGCTGGGTGCTCTAGAAGTTTCCCTTTTGTGGGTTGTGTATGCCCTCCTATTGTTTTTGAATCTTGGTTGCTGTTGTCATGTCACTGGGTAGGATTGACCCTTAGGATAGCTGACTGTGAAGAGTAGCCATGACCATAGCCTAAAAGATGATAGACAGGGGCTGACCCCAAGGAGCAGAATTCACCCTAGCAGGATATGGTCCCTGATGAGGCCTCTCTTTGGGTACGCTACTTATTAAGCTAATCAAATGGTGCTATGTTGTGGTCTGAAACCAACCACTGGGTATGTTGGTTCTTCTGGGGACTCTTGAGAGGGACTCCAGTGTAGGTCAATGTCAGAGGATGCCTGTAACTGGCTTGGGGCTACGTGTTAGGAACTACAAAACTATCAGTGGTTGGTATCCGCCTGACTAGTGCCTGGGTGTGCCTGGGAAAGGCAAAACTGCAAACTGAGGCCAACTGCCACCAGTACCTGCCCTGGACCAGGTCATCAAA